CCTGGTCTGCTGGGGGGGGGGGCCCAGAAGCTGTGCTGGACCCCCCCAGCAGACCAGGGAGACCGGGAGAAGCTTTTCTCGCCCTGAAGGACACGGGTGGCGACTCGCCGCCCATGAGCTCCGGGGCGAGAAAAGCCCCGTTTGTAAGTGCGGAGCCGACATAAGTCGGGGACTTCCTGTACAGTTGTCTGTTTGAATATCTGCTTTTCTGTATTATTTTTGTGTTATCTTTTGAAATGTCCTATTGAGCTTTAGAATTAAAAAGCCTCATTTAACTTGCACGTATTTCTGAAGATCACACTGACTTACAGTCACAGCTTTCAGAGTCAAAGTATGCCAGTGTTGTCACACCAAAATACGTTGATATAATCACAGTGGGAAAAGTACCCTGCTTCAGCCCAGCTTCATGTCTGTTCCCTGTGCATCTTGGCTAGCTAACGTGTGAGGCCGAGCATTTTGAATGCTACACATAAAATGTCTAATCAAAGAAAGCATTTCTAAAGGAGAACAAGGCAACAAACTACACAGTTAAGAAATTTTAAATGACTTAATCTACACTTAAACTTAAATCAATATAACTTAGGCGCTCAAGGCTTAGGTGTTTTGAAAAGTCCACCCCAGTGAGTGCCAATTTAATTCCTGGTGTGGACACAGCTAGAGTTTACAGAAGAAACCTTCCATTGAGCTAAATATCCTTGCTTAGGGATGTAATGTTTCTACAGCAATGGAAAACCTCCCTCTATCACTATAGTGCATGTCTACTCTCCAGGTAGCTATGCCACCATAGTTCCCAAACTGTAGGTGTGGCTTAATGAAGGGACCATATTTTTTTTAAAAAAGTTTGTGAATCTGTTACAGTTCAGCACAAGTCAGATGATGGTGTTTACTGAAGGCATACTGAACTGTGATGTCCCTGCTGCAAAGCAAAAGAGATGATGATGGTCTGTCCTTTGTACTGGTCTGCTTTATCTTGCTGCTTCCTTATCTTAGGTTGTTATTCTAGCAATCCTATTTCTCTGCACCAGCCATTCAATGCAGTGCAACCTGTATAACCTGTTAAAGAATAACTCTGTTCCTTGTATTCTAGGGGCAGATTGTGAATTTATTTGAGAACTTGGAATCTGCTGCTTTTGTTTTTTAAATGATTCCACACAGAAAGCTGGCAGAGTCTGTGATGTTTGACCAGTACACTAAAAAGTCACGGGGTCTTCCTGTTTGACTCAGAAGTTTGGGACTGTTTCCCTTCAACCATACAAAATTAAAATCTGAACAAAATTATAACATTGTGCTATTGGGACTGATTTTCCTCTCACTTGCATTCATGTAAACTATTGAAACTAACTGGGTGTAGTAATAGTGTGAGAAGATAATATGGCCCTAAGGAATATTTTACACTTGTGGCTATGAATAGGAACTATGCACACTTATCAGGGATATAATAGAATCTTTAAGATGAGTTTTTTCATATTTTCTTTTAAAGTACACAGTTTTTCTGGGGAGGTTTGTATTGTATGTGTGTGTTTAATTTCTTGCTTGTACTGACTCTCTGAAAAGACACTGGTCAAATAATGTTAGCTATGTGTCAGTCATACTGCCAAAAAGTTAAATATACTGGCCTAATATAGGTGTGTGGGCAACACGGATATCTGTAACTCCCTTTCAAGCTTGCCTATTAACTGGAAAACTACCTTAGAAAAAGTAAGATCACCTCTTCCAGCTTATACCTTGCCAGTGAATTGAATTCTAAAGTATTCACTCTTTTCCCCCAGTTGTTTTTTCAAGCTTCCCTTCAGTTATTGCATAAAATAGTGAATAAATTGTTCAGTTCTTCTTCTGTGTTTCTATATGAACATAAATAACTGTTCTTTATCCTATAGAGATGTATTAACTGTAGAAAGATCTGGGATTGGCTAGATCAGGAAACTAGAGCAATGCCAAAAGAAAATAAACCTGGCTGGGGAAATGTGACTGGCTTCAGTGCACTTAGGCATCCTGCCTGTAGACTTTATTGTTGTCTCATTAAAAAAAACCAAAAAACCCAAGCTGTTCTAAAATAATGAAGAGAATGAGTGAATTTACTAGACTGTGCAAATCTGGAGAAGCTGTTTTGAATATTTGCCATATGTATGAGCGAGGAACTTATCTGCTCAGTTTTGGAGTAATTGCACATCCTAAAGAAGGGGCAACACTTTACTTTGCTGTCTGAGGTACAGTTTGGGTTCTTGGGTTTATTTTGCTGTGCTCCATTGGAGTCTTATCTTACCTTGTACAGATTCCTTCCCCTGAACCCTGGTCAGCATAGTTTGTGAGGGAGGAGCTGTGCAGAGTCCAGGCTCTGCCCATTCCATGTTCTGTTGTGTAGCTGTTTTCCCTCACTTCTTGCCTATGCTTTAGCTGATGGAGGGAGACAAAGCAAAGGAGAACTGCTGTGTGGATGCAAAGGGGAAGCCGCAATCTTTCTCTAGGGAGGCCAAACCTTGTGAAGAGTGTAGTGTCTCTGATTTCTTTTGGCGCCTTGTGAGATTATTTTGGATCTTGCACCTGTTTTAAATTAACATAATTCTATTGACTAAACATGGAGTTACTCCTGATTTTACAGCATTGTCAAGGCCCTAGCTCTTTGTGTGGCTGTGAGTTGGGGGTTCAGATGTTGTGAAAAGGAAATACGCATATGTAAAACATATTGGCTCCGATTCATCCCACTGGCTTTAATGGAGTCGCAACGGGTCAGTTTGATTCATTATGTTATCTTCGCATATCATGCACCTGGCATCTACAACGAACATTAACCTTTGAATTTTGGGTGACTTACATATAGCCAGTCTTCAAAATAACTGATTGTGTTTTAAAGATTATGTCACAGCATCCAGCCTGTTGCAGGAACATACTAGGTTTATCTAAATTGTAAACTTTATTACAATCAAATACAGTTGTGCACAATTAAGTTAAATGGTGCAATGTTGATCTCAGCTCATGGAGCAAGGTGCCAAAATCCCATTAGAAATGTGTTTGGAGTTGCTGTGCCACCTCCCATCCATAGGTTCATTGGAAAATCCCAGTCTTTGTGACCACTATAGACCTGGACAAAACTGCCTTTTGGTTTGTCAGCAAACAATGACTAAACCAATAGATGTAAAATTTCCAAATATACCCTAGTGATTTAGGAGCCCAAGTTACAATGAACTTCCCATGAGGCATAAGCACCTAAGCTGAGTGGGTTTTTTTGAATTTTTTTTCCCAGAAGCTCGTACGGAAGTAAAAAGTTAGGTACAATGTAAGAATTGCTTTTATAAATGGTACATTTCCTATACTGAATATAGCTGTATGTATTCAGTGCATCTTTTACTTGTTTATAATGTCCTTTATGATATGATGTTTCGTCTTTCTCATTCAAGGGTCTCTTAGCATGTTGCAAAGATGGATGAGTATGATTTCCATCTTACATATGGGGAAACAGAGGCACAAATTGCTCAAGTGATTTGGCCACAATGACACGAGTTAATTGCCTGGGTTGCCATCCAGTGATGCGTGTTCTATAGTAAAGGCTTTGGTTAACTTGCAAAGTCAAGCTAACTTTCACTAGGGGAACCCAATTCTGCATTTGATAAATTAGTGTCTGTAACTACATGATTGGTCTTAACTTTAACATGCATCTGTGCTTTTTATAAACTACTCCTTTTCAGTAAAATACAAGCTACTCTTGCTGTTTTGGGTGAAATTTTTTTTTTTTTTTTAAATAGTGATGTGGGAGTTTACAAACATGCTTGGGGTACTGTTAGCAGAGTTGGAAGATACATACAACAGAATAAGACTGACCTTGTTTTATAAGTTTTAAGCTATAAAAAAATCAAACTGTGGGCGTAATATTTTCATTCATGTATGGGATATGTTTACAAGTTTTGTGATGCTTCCTTCGACACTGTGATGCCATTTTTCAGCTGATGCAGATTCTGGCATAGGAAAGAAGGGCAACATGCTGCATGAGTGAATTTTAAGGGCCTCATCTTGCAAACACTGTAACAGGAGTACTCACAATATGCACTCAGTAGTAGCATGTGTAGGATCAGGCTCTACATTATGTGTTGCTTGAAAGGCACAATCCAGTTTATGGGAGCTGTGTTTATTGCTTAAAGTCAAATATTGTGAACATATTTTGGATTAAAATTATGCTGAATTTCAGAATCCTGACCTGGCTGCAGAACATCTTGCAAACACTGTAACAGGAGTACTCACAATATGCACTCAGTAGTAGCATGTGTAGGATCAGGCTCTACATTATGTGTTGCTTGAAAGGCACAATCCAGTTTATGGGAGCTGTGTTTATTGCTTAAAGTCAAATATTGTGAACATATTTTGGATTAAAATTATGCTGAATTTCAGAATCCTGACCTGGCTGCAGAAAGA